ATTGTAGAAATCGAAAGATACCAACCTCAAGCTGAGTCCTTCGAAATGCAAAGTGTTCCGCAGTGAAGTCACCTATTTAGGGCACGTCATTTCCGCCGAAGGTGTCCGCACAGATCCATAGAAGGTGTCAGCAGTTTTAAGACTGGGAACGCCCTGTGGATTTTCTTCAATTAAGGAGCTTCCTGCTATTACAGAAGATTCGTGAAGGGGTTCTCCAACATCGCAAGGCCTCTACATAAATTAACAGAGAGTAAACAAAAATTCGTATGGTCTAAGGAGTGCGAAAAGTCCTTTAATCAGTTGAAGGTGGCATTAACATTTACGCCCGTGCTCGCATATCCCTAGACCAATAAACATTTTATATTAGACACAGATGCGAGCAACGAAAGTGTGGGAGCTGTCCTTTCCCAAACGATTCATGGTCAAAAACGAGTAATAGTTTACTGGGGTAAGTGCTTGTCCAAATCGGAAAGGAATTTTTGCGTCAACCATAAAGAATTGCTTACTATCGTAAGGACCATAGAGCATTTCCATCATTATCTCAATGGTAGAAAATTCTTATTGAGGACCGATCATGCTTCCCTAACCTGGCTATTGAATTTCCTTGGGAACCTTGTTCCGCACACTGCAGGCATTGTTCAAGAGCCAAGGCTAAGCACGGTTAGCGAATCCTAGCATTCGGCAAATGACATCTTCAACATCCGCCGATCCAGATCCGTGGATTGATGAAAAAAAATGTTAGAGAAAACCAATTGACGGATCCTGGCATTAAGCCAATAATAGAACTGAAGAAATCATCCACTACAATGTGGCAGGATATTTCCATCTTCAGTCCTATAAATAAAAGGCACTGGGCTCTCTGGGACTCACTCCACTTTCGAAACGGAGTTTTATATCGACTATGGGAAAGCGACGATGGAACTAATAAGAGATAGCAGCTACTGCTTCCTCGAAACCGAATACCTGATGTTCTGAAGGAAATACACAACTGCCCAACAGGAGGGAATTTTGGCTATATGAAGACATTAAACAAGATTTGAGAGCGCTTCTTCTGGAGTTCGGCGAGAATCGATGTTGAGAAATGGTGCCGATCTTGTGATGCTTGCGCAGCCAAGAAAGGACCGAAGGGATGTACTCGAGGAAGGCTGTAGCGATACAATGTAGAACGCCTTTCGAGCGAATTCACGACGGATGGCAACAAATACATCCTCTTTGACATGGGTTATTTTACGAAGTGGCCCCAAGCATACTCAATTCCAGACCAAGAGGCTGAGCTGAAGTTCTGTTACAGAACTGGGTTTCCAGGTTTGGGACCCCCCTCCAGATTCATTCCGACCAAGGCAGAAACTTCACTTTGACTGTGTTCAAGGGATTCTGCGATTTAATGGAAATCAAGAAAACGCGGATGACCCTGTTACATCTGCAGTCTGATGGCATGGTGAAAAGGTTTAACCGTGCAATCCTGAATCATTTCTCGCTCATGGTTTCCAACAAATATCTGGATTGGATAATGCGTTAAATGGAGGAACAGAGGCAAAATCTCTTGCTCTGCTTGTGCTGGGCACAATAAACTTTGAAATATTGTTACGAAATATCCAGCCGCGGTAAGATAGCTTCCCTGCAAAGCGGTCTAGGATTCCCAGAGAATGGCAAGGGAAATCGCTCATTAGGCGGCAAAATTGGCAATGTACCATAGACGGATGGAGAATATTCTAGAACGAATTCGCACCGGTTTGGCCTGGAATGTTCTCGAAGGCAGGCCAAAAGCAATATAAACCCTGCCTGTACACGGAGTAGTAGTGAGTATCGTCGAGTTTTATCTTGAGTGTGTTGAGCTCCGCGATCGATGGAGTCGGGAGCTTTACTTTAGTCTTTAGCCGGGAAGCTGCCTTCACTGTTGTAGCCTGAAGGCTGTGTTGCTGATTGTTTGCTGAAAAGGGTGTTGTAATTTTTCGACAATATCAAGTCTTGTCTTCAATCACTCTAAATCTACGAACCCGTAAAAACGCAACAATACTATACACAGGAATATTCAAATTTGCTGTATTTGGCACCATCTGTAGGTGAGAGAGAAGATGAAAACTGGAACAAAAGTTTTTTAAATACAGAACTGAAAATATTTTGATTTATTAATGAATGAAATAATTGTGGTGTTAATTGGACAGGCGTGTTTTTCCAGATAAAAGGTTTCTTCTCTTCAGTTGCAATAACTGAGATTTGATAACGTGATTTAGGAACTGTCCTGAGTAATACTGGCAAATAAATTGTGTTTTAATACTTCATTAAGTGTTGTCGTCAGTCGCTCGAAATCCACAATCCCATAGAACGCAACAATATAATAGCAACAGGTGGTATCAAAAGGGTTGTTCCCAAGGATCAATATCTGGCCCACTTATATGGAATATCATAGTGAATATAGCATTAAGTGTTACAATACAACAAAATGTTGCTGTACAAGCCTATGCTGACGACTTTGTTTTTATGGGTCACGGCAAGTGGTTGTCATACTATAGATATGACACTTCTCTAGTCCAAGAGCTAGAGAAGTGGTCTTTTCAAGTTAAGCTTAAGTTTGATCCAAAGAAAAGTTTTCTCTTGGGTATTGCAAAAAGTAATACAGTCAAGTGTCTCCGGACTCGTTGGGACTTCGGATTATTGGTTTTTCTGGATAATAGATCATGAATTTAAATCTGGTAACATGGCATGCAGTAATTATAAAATTAAAAATATGAAACTGTAATTTATGAAATAAAGAGCAAATTATGATCTAAAGGGTATCAAAATTTACAAAAAAAAAAGCTTAATATTTATTTATTTACTTTATTAAACATTTCATTCAACGCACGCATGCGTAAAGCCTACATTACGCATAGTCGAAATTAGAAAATTGCAACCAGAAAACTATTTGATGTGTATTCGTTATATTTATAATGACAAGGAGTTTGATTTAAATCATATCAAAGATGGAGTACATCGAGATGAAATACTACATTTAGTAAGAAATTATAAGCCAAATAAAATAAAAACATCTGCCCTGAATATAAGGATATCTGACAGACCAACTTCCAATTCATCGCGGGCCGCGACGTTCCCCCCGCAGAGCAGCGTGAAATTAATAAACAGATTTCAGAATGGTTAGAGAAACAAAGGATATACCTTTATCCATTTTTTGCGGCAATTCTACTTTTTGTTTGATGGACATTGAAACATGCTTTCACTTTGTAGATCCTTTGGCAGCTCCAGAATCAGATATTCATTTTGACATAATCGAAAGCTGAAGCCTACTTTTATAAAATTGCTCTAACAGTCTGCAAATAATAATAAGCCAAATCCAATTCGAAGATTAAGGAACAACGCAATCTGCAACATTAACTGAAATAGATAATTTTAGCTTAGCTTATACCATCCGTTATACATTAAATGGGCATGCGTAAACGCATTACGCATTTATGCATGCACATAATACGTGACCCATGGTGGATTGGTTCGGTCCGAATGCGCATGAAAATATTACAAATTCAAAGAATCGCTCTCTTAAGAATTATTAAGTGTTTTAAAACTGTTTCGACAGAGGCTCTTCAGATTTTGGCTGAATGTATTCCGGTTGATATTTTGGCTGTATGCTATTTACCAATTAAAAGCAAGCAATGGTACTGTTGATTGCTTCATTGATGTTTTCTCTGCTAGACACTCTGAGCTAAATAAAGTATCAAACTATCACCCGACCTTATCAAAGAAATTGAATTGATATAAGGGCTTCCTGAATATGTCAGATTATACTTTTTTAAAGATGGTTCTAAATTAAATGGTCATGTGGGGGCAGCTTTTTGCACGTTTTCTCGTGACACATCAAGTATACAAAGAAAGTATAGATTATCTGATAACACATCTGTCTATCAGGCAGAGCTAGTGGTTTTATGGGAGGCCTCGTAAAGTTAGCTAGTGGTTTTACGGAAGGCCCTATTAGCTCAATTCAAATTTCACAGAAGATCTTGTTGAGATCTATAGTGATTGTCAGAATTGAAATAATTGTGCTGTGCTATTGTTTCAATTATGGACGTTTATCCTAGTAACTATGCAATAAAGCAGATAAAGGACATGCTCATCTTTCTTGCCTCTTTTAGAGATGTTTTGGACGAAGAGCCGCATCGGCACCATCAGTAATGAGCTAGCCAATAGACTGGAAGTCAAGTTATACATTTTGATTTGAAAAAACTTCTTTTGATTGCCTGAAATAAAAAATATATGTCTTCTTTCTTGCTGAAAAACAGAAGTATGACTTCTGGGCAGGGAAAGTGGAATGAACCTGATTCCAAAGGAAGGTTCACTTACAATTTAATTTCAATAATAAGTGCAAGAAGGTGTATGAGCGACAAGTATCTGAATTAAGCCTTGACTCATCATGGACATTTTCCATCTTACTATGAAAGGTTCTCGATTAAAAATTATGTTTGTCCTTGTGGCATAAGAAATACTAATTAAGAGTACCTGTTATTTAGTTGTTCCTCTATGAAAAATATTGTACAAAGATTTATCCTTAATATTACTAAATTATGTTACTAAATGTTGTTAAATTTTATGTAAAAATGTAGTGCCTAAATTAAGATTGTCAAATTTCATAAAATATGTATCTGTAAACAAAATATAATTGTATATTGGATGAGTTCAGAATATTCTGTCTGTTTCATTTAAAACTAAAATATTCACATATATATTGTTTATTTATTTCTTCGTACATGTAAGTAAACATGTGTTTTATTTTGTATTACAAAATTTGTTAGATCTCACCAGTCTTTAGTGAAGAAGTTAAAATTTGTAGTAGTTCTTTTTTTTTTTAATGTTATTTAAAGCAGTATGGTGGCTGTTCTGCTGCTTGTGGGCCTGACTGGTCCTGTTTTAGTATTTAATGTCCCGTTCAGGTAATTTTGATCAGTCATAATTATATGTAAATAAAATATAGAAGGATTTTTGTTAGCAGGTTTACAGGATCAAATATTAAGTTGTTTCTAATTATAAATTTTATACTTTATTTTTCATACACTTTTAACGAAGAAATTACTTATTGGTGTCATCTGTTACAGAAGAAATTTTCATGGGTTTTACAGCTGTAATTCCCTTCCGAGGTATTTCACTGTCTTTAGCTAAAAGATTTCTGCTAAACCACGATGGTCTTGTTTTGGGTAGTTCTACTATTCTTTTACCTTGATAATATTTACTGTCCTTAGGTTCATTCTGATACACAACTACAACTTCTTTATCAATAGGATCCAGTTTTAATTCATTCATGATAGCATCTTGCATTAATTCTGTCTCAAGTTTTACTTTGTTGTAACAGTTACCTATAAATAAAAAGAAAAAAAAGTCATTAACTACATATAATTAAAAATTCTTTATAATATAAAATTCCTTATAAATAATAAATAAAAAAAAATAAAAATGTAAAATAAATATAATAAAATACAAGGTTCTGTATGAACTAATCAGTAACTGCTACAAAAACACCTTAGAGGTACAAGATTTTTTTTCATAGAAGAAGTAAAAAATATGTTTTGCCAGAAATTTCAATTAAAACAGTGTTTTACAAGGGTGACACACATACACAAAAAAAAAAAAAAACTGGTCCAATAAATTAATCAGTTTTCCGTGACATTATCAACTTCAGTGTTAGTCCCCTTGAGCATTCACACACTTCTGCATTCAGTGCTGCAGTTGCTGGTAACAGTTCTGGAACAGGGTTTTTGGAAGGGAACCTCTTGAGGACTTAGATTCTCTGTTTTTGCCTGAACGTCTTCAACTGAGGTAAAACTGCTTCCCTTTAAGCAAGATTTAACTTTAGGAAATAAAAAAAGGTCACATGGAGCCAAATCAGATGAATAAGAAGGATGCCCTTATCACAGTAATGTTTCTGCTGGTCACAAATTGCTTGACAATTAGGGATGTGTGAGCAGATGCATTGTCCTGGTGCAACAGCCATTCACCACTCCACAACAGTGGCCTTTTTTCCCTATATTTCTCATTAAGTCTTTTTAGTACTTCAGAGTAGTAACGTTAATTAACAGTCTGAACACTGAGAAACCACTCAATCATTCCATTAATTCCATTAATTCAATCAAAATTCCATTAATGTAGAAGACAATTAACATTGCCTTGAATTTTGATTTTGACATGCGTGCTTTTGTCCCTCCCCCACTGAAAACCGTTCATGCCATTCAAACACACGTGCACGAGACAAAGTTTTATCTTCATAAACTTCAGTTAAGATTTGAAATGTTTCCGTGGCTGATTTCTTAAGCTTCACAAAAGAAACTTGATGTTGATTCGCCGTGCAGTTTTTACACTAGACATTTTTTCGGCAGAATGCAGTTGCACATGCTCACTCAGTGACATAGTACTCCCAACTGGTGTGATCAGTAAGTCGAAACTGGCCGCATAGATAGAGGAGGCTTGTGGAATGATGTCACCAAAACAGTTATTGTCAGCTCCAGTCCTATTTCAAGCTACACACTTAGTCTCGTTTTTTTTTTTCACACCTCATATACATATATAGAATTTTATATCTTTAATTATATATTGTAATGTTAGTGTAAGGTTAACTGAACAAGGTAAAGCGATTTGAGAACTGTTTGCCTATAGGGAGGGATAATTTTATGGAAGACTTTTCAATAGAACTAGATTATATTCATGTTACACATAAGGAAACCATGAAAATTCTTATACAGTTGCCCATTTGCTGGGATATGAACACAGGTCAAACTTCCGAATTTCCATGAATTTATGCTTGGCTCTAATGAGCCTATCTGAGTCTTGCGTGCATATGGGTTCGTAATGAATTGAATGCGAATCAATGGTAGCTTCATAAAATTTATTTTCCCAAAAGAAACACTTTACAATTTTGGAACTTTCTACAAAAACACTCGTACAGCTCTTCTTAGTATCTCATTATAGCTCTCTTCTCTCAGTATCACAGAGCACTTCAAACTATTAAGATCATTGTTTAACATTGTGTTAACAACACACAGTGCATCTAAAAGGCAAAGCTCTCATAGAGATCTCAATATTCTGAACTAACAACTAAAAGCTGATGCTCTCTCTGGTCCTATATAGTTTTCCCTGGTTGCTGAAAAATCTCCAGTATCTTCTATTTCTCAAAATTACTGAAAAGCATATAAGCTTAAAGCTACATATAAGGGCCAGATATAGTTAAACTGTAATTGATCCATATGTGTAAATATAAATACACATATGGTTCAATTACAGTTATACAGGGACCGCATCAGAATTCTTTCAAATTTGATGACTTTTAGTGACAAAACCATCTCGCTAAATTGGCAAATAGACTTGCCCATATAGTCTTATTTTTCTGGCACAGCTTCATCTCTTCAAACTTTTCAGGGTACAGTACAAAGTCTTTATCCAACTCGTCTTAACTCGGCGATTCAGATTAGGGGTTTTCCGGTTAAGATCATCAATTTAAATCTGGTAAGATAGCATGCAGAAATTATACAATAAAATATGAACTATTATGAAATAAAGAGCAATATGACCAAAGGTATCAACTTTTACAAAAAAAAAAAAAAACCTTAATATTTATTTGTTTACTTTATTAAACATTTCTTTCAACGCGCGCATGCGTAACGTACGTGCATTCTTTACACGCATGCGTAAAGTTTGTGGCTTTGAGGTCCAGATTATAGATCATTCCGGATAATGGACATCCGCATTACGGACTTTGTACTGTATATTATACAAAATATATTGCAATTTCAAATATAATTTCACTAAAATTATTTACATAGATACAAAATTCATAACAAATAGTATTTAATGAATAAAATACATTACCCCTTTCTTAGCATTGTTGCATTATGGACATTTAAAAAAATTTTCTGCCTGCACTAATGACCTCAAAAGGAAGATTATAACCCCAAAATGATTTTACTAGGATATGGTGGGATGTCGAGAAAATTATTTGCTAAGAGATGCTCACATCTAACTACAAGATTTATTACTTAGTCGTCAAGTGTGAGCTGATATTAGCTGCTACTACAAACAACTTTACAGACTGAAAGATTTAAGATCCAACAGCCTAGTGCTCATCAGATGCAAAGGTATTATCGGTTGATCTTTGGATTATGGTAACTTGGCGATTTTTTGGCGAAAATTTGGCGACCAACTCTGCTACAGCAACCCTCTAATTTTGTTTCGCTGCCATTTTGTTTCACGAAGTAAGACTGTTTTTTTCTTTTATTACGACACTTTTTTAAACAATCTATAGCGAATAACTTATGCTCGAAATTTTATTAACAAATTGCTTAATCATGAAAATATGAACTGAAATTGGAAAAAGTGCACAATCGCAAACCCTTGCGCGTTTTCAGAATAGCACATACCACATAACCATGTACCACGACTTATTTTTACTTAAAAACATCCAGAATGCAAAATTGGCATTGTGCACACTTTCACTATATCCATTACACGCTTTTTTCTATAATTAGAAAAATTTCGCGAAAAGTATGACAATTTCTGATCTTAAATCCGGCAAAGAACATATTCAAATCACCTGATTGCGAAAAAGTATATACCCTTCCAAAGATAACATTTCCACGTATAAATAAATAAATTCCAAAAACTTGACCTCAATTATCTATTATTTAAAGCACCAACAAATTCATACCGAAACATACGATATTAGTGTCAATATTTAAATTATTCCTGCAGGTACTTCACTAAACATATACCAATTCCTACACATAAAATTCACAAAATAACTATCATTAATTAAAATATCACTAAACCATGAACTCGACTTATTACACCCCGAATTGCACAAAATGGCATTGCCACACTATCACTATCTTAGTACACGCTTTTTTCTCATAAACATATAATTCACAAAATACTATAATTTAATTAAAATATACTTCAAAACACTACTTAAATCAAATAATCCATACATTATTAATAAAAATTAGCTACAATCTAATTACTTTAAACTAAATCATGCATAACTTTCCAATAGACCATATACTTTATTTATCCCATTTAGAACAATGCATAAAATAATATCCTAAATATTAAAATACTAACTTACAATCTTCTTCAGAACTTGATTACGTGGCGATACACCTTCTTTTTCCTCCGCTAAATGAAAAGCATCGTATGTTCGCCTGTCAGGATCGTTAAAATCATACTTATAGTTACAGCAGATGTTGAAAACCTTCATCCTCCAAACATACTTAATAAAGCTAATAACAAGCTTATTCTATCTCGCACAACTTAAAAAAAACACTTATTACTACCCCTTTCAATCCCACTAATACCCATTCGAATTCCCTGAGTAGGGCCATGGATCCAAAAATTAACCAAACACTGTTTCAACACCAGAATAAAGTAAATAAAAATTCCAGATTTTTTCCAGATTTCCCCTTTCTGATAAAGAACTGTAATTGTCATTAATTCACTGACATATCTCATGATCTCTCATTTCCCTCACACAAAATAATGCGTAATCGGACCTGAGTACTTCTCACATTATTACCAAAGTTCTAGGTAGTAACCTTTATCGCCTCCAAAATGTCGCCAAACTACCAGTTACCATATTCCAAAGATCAGCCATATTATCTTTCATTATAATCATGAAGTACTTCAACCGAAAGTACTATCCTTGCTTGGGAAATTTTACTGTACTTGGCTTATTTTTCTGCCCTTGAACCTACATAATACCACTTTTAGCATTCATTACAAGAAACTTTCAACGTCCAAACCTCTGACAATGTAAAGTATGTAAAAACAGCATTGCTAGCTTTTTACCTCCTACCAATTTTTATACATAGCTAAGGGAGGTAGTATTTTTGGTCAAAAAATTTGTCAATGAGTTTTCAATGAATTAGCATGTGCAAAACATGTTTTTATTATTTTTACAATGATGTTTGTCTGTGTATGTGAGAGACCATTTTTTATCTCTGATATTTCTTATATCAAACTCCCCAAAACTTCTGTTTGGCATTCATATAAAGAGTTGACTAGATTTTGGGTAAAACTGGACAACTGGAAATGGTATTTTACTTGAAGTCCATAATAGTTTTGCAATAATAAACGTAACATATTGCTGTATATTCATAATACATTATTGCAATTGAGTATTGCTACCTAAATATCACCAGCATATCCCTGCAGATCAAAATGAATTTAGACTTTTTTCTATATATACGATAAAAATAAACATACATTGTTGCGTTTTTTTCTCTTCTGCCACCAGTTGTTACGTTATTTTCTTCCTTTACGTTCGAACGGGGTTCATGTGGATTTAGAGTAAAAGATGACGACACTTGACGAAGTATCGAAACACACTTTATTGGCCGGTATTAATCAGGACAGCCTCCAATAACACTTTTTACAGTCGTCGAAGATCTACTATAAAAGCTGGAACAATCAGCGACACAGCTTCACACCTGTCAGCAATAACGTGGAGACAGCTTCCTGCAAAGCACCCGCCTGCTTGGTTGTTCTCCTCGACCTCCTCGTACTCCTGACTCTGCGGTTCAGTTTGCTCCTGGACTCAAACGCGCTCGTCTCTCGAGATGCACTAACCGCGATACACTACGAGACTCTTTCCGATGCACTCGCTCAATGACTGACTATCAGCTCGCTAGACGAGAGACACACTGCACGGCTGTTAACTCGATCGACTTCACACTGACTTACTAACCCGAGACTAACTATCTCGCACTCTAGACGAGACACTCTCTACTCGCCCTCTCGACAAGGCACGCACACACTGACTGCAGACCAGCAGGGTTTATATAGCTTTCGCTTGTGTTCGAGAACATTCTGGCTTAAACCGGTAAGATGATTTTTTAAAAGTGAAAATAGGTTGAAATTGAACATGGATAAAGTCAGGGAGTGCACAATGCCAAGTTTGTGCGATTCTCTGATGTTTTTTTAAGTGAAAATAGGTCAATGTGTACATGGATACAGAGTTTGTGCAATTCTTTGACTTGTTATTTTGTCTTCACGTAGCAGGAATTTTTGGCACAAATTCGCCGCTACACAAAGCCAGTCAAAGAACCACATAAACTTGGTATCCATCTACCGACAAAAATCACCAATTTTTGCCAAGGGGCACCCGTAAATATATTTTTACTTGCTTTTTTTCTTCCAAAAAATTAAGAATAAAGATGTAATGTAATTAAAATAATAAATTAAAAAATGGAAAACATACCACACACAGTATGGACTGCATGAAAATGCCCACATGCCTCACAAACTATAAGGTTCTTCTTTGGAAGCAATAATTTACCCAAACCCATTCTTCGAGTCATACGACGTTCTAAGGATCTTCTGTGCTTTGGTACAGCCCACAGAAAAGCAGAATTAATTACACTATCTAAAATGGATTTTGAATTTGCCTTTTTTGATGTCGAGATGAGGCCACCATTGCAACCATTTGTAATTATACACAAATCTGAAAAAATAAACAACATAAATTAGAAATTTGAAAAGAAATAAAAGATTCTGGCTAAGCATACAAAAGTTATTTGTCTAAGGGGAAGTATGTCTTTGAGAGGGTCTTTTAAGGCTCTCTGGTTCATATTCGTGCATGCACCAACCAGTCTGCCAGGAGTGAACTACAAATACAGCTGATACAATGGTAATCTTTCTATCAAGTGACCATAAAAAATCTTCATCTGAGAAGAGTATATTAAATCTATTTTTTCCTCCAAAAATCCATTATTATAACATCTTTTTCGCTATAAAATGTGTGCCATCATTATAATGAGGATCAACCACACCAATATTTAGAATTTTTTATCTACTTATCCACTGATTGTAAGATAGAAGAAAATAAATTTAGTAATTTTAATTTAATAAAAATGCATAATAGGTATGAAAACACTTTTTTACAAGGTACTATTAATATATACATTATGACAGATTTTTTTAAAATAAATACAAAAAAATCAGCAATTTATTGCACAAAGAAAAATACAAGATTCACTTGCTGCATCTTTTTCAAAAAGTAAATTTATACTGAAAATGTAAAAATGATGTAAAATACGTACACATGCGGTAAAAATAAACATAAGACTATGAGAATGAAAATAAAACTACTTTGATACTTGGTTGTTTATTTTAGTGAAATGCTTGAGAAATATATATTATATTATATATATATATATATAGAGAGGAGAGAGAGAGAGAGAGAAATAAAATAACACCTACTTTATATATTACGTACAATCTGAGAGCGAGATAAAAGCCTCGATGATAATAACCATTTTATGCAAGTATAAGGCTGTGATATGCAATCATTGGTGAAGGGTTTATAATTGAAAAGATCCTCACAAAAAACATGTCTGCACGTCACAACTTTTTAATTTTTTTCCCCCTTGTTCATAGCTTGGTGCCATAGGTATTAAAAGAGTCGTGGTTAAATCAAATGGTATGCATACAAAAGCAGTATATACCACACTGATTTATGTAATTTTTGCAAGCAATTACTAACGCGACCTTCGCACTACTATAGATATTAACATAATTATATGTAAATTCCATTAAAAAATAATAAAAATAAACTAGGCCATAATATAAGAAAACTTCTTGTTCTTATATTGATGTTCATAGTGAATATATTGTTCTAATAGACGAAATTATACAGTTTATAACAAATATATATATATTCTTTCTGTCATAAAATTAAAGAAGTATTCACAGTAACATTCATTAAATTTCATATTTTGCGTCTAATCACGCTAGAAAAATGTTATTGAAAAAAATTCGCTAAACTTTAGACAAAACAGTTAAAAGAAGTTCTGTACCTGGGACTTCTGAAGGGTAAGTTCTGCTTACTGTGTCTCGTAAAAAACGATTTATATAATGACGGAAGTTTCTTACGGTCGAAATTAAAGAATTCATACTGGAAACTTAACCTTAAAACGATCTAAAAACATAAACAAATCGGACATTAAGTTGCCATATAAGAGCAACTAATTCCATAATGATAACCAAGGAGGTTAGAATATGATAATAACCATAAAGGTTGATTCACTAGCTTTGAACAGGTTTCCAAGGAACTCAAATTCATGAAGAAGAAAATAAAAAAAAAATTCTTTTAAAATATCTATATGTAAAATTATAGTCTTATATTCATATGCGCTTCATTTCGGGCAGCAAACATGCAGATAAACTTCAGTGAGCTGTATTCAACGTCTAATGCAGTAATATATAAGAAAATCGCTATTTTAACATTTTTACGATAACATTTCATAGAAAAATGTGTAAAATAATTACAATTAAATTTTTCTTGAAATACTGCAGAACATATTATACCGAAATATATAAAAATAAGAAATTCTCATAGTTTAGAAGTCTTTTCTTAAAGGCAAATATATTTTCCAAACATTTCGATTCTTTAAATTTGGCAATGATTATTTGTCTCAGTCCTTTTTCCTTGTTTTTCTTCGTACTTCTTTTTCCTTGTTTTTCTTCGTAAGCGTACTGCCTGCCTATGATTATTTTTACGTTTGTAAGGTAATGTTTCATTGTCTTAATTTATTGAGACATTAAAAAATTTCAAATATATATATATAGAGAGAGATATGTATATATTTACGACACGATTTCCGTAATTTTTTTAATATATATATGTATATCAAATATGTGTTATATTTAAAAGGCTGTGCAGTTATTTTTAAGTAACATAATATACAAATTATTTTTATATGTAGGTTCTGAAGTTTTACTGACTCTAGAAGAGTTATTGAATGGATTATTATATATAAGGAAAAGTAAGATTTTTGTAGAAATTAAAATAAGTGATCATGATTTTAATTATTTAAAATGTTATAAGGTTTTAAATGTAGTGTATAGTTTGGCGTATAACGCGCATCTTTAATGGGAAAAAAAAAAAAAAAAAAAAAAAAAAAAAGATCGAAATTTTTGGGTGCGCTTTATATAGAAATGATAGATTTAAAAAAGAAAAGATGAGCATACAAAAATTAGATTTCTCCGTGTACTTGAGTGCTCTTTATTTAAAAAAATGTAGCTTTCATGTTTCTTTGTAAAGGAAAAGATGTGTGTCATACGGCAAATATACCTAAAAATTTCAAACTGTAGTTCGAAATTAAAGATATGCATAATACGTTAGAATATATGGTAAATAATGTTTTCAAACATTTTGCAAGTAAAAAATTTTTAAAAATGAGTTTTTGATAAGTCCAAGATGAGTTTAAATTTTTATCTCATTTTCTGATAATAATAACATGTTTAATACTTATTGGGTGGTACCCCTTGGCGAAACTTGGCGGCGCCGCTACACAAAGCCAAAATAACAAGACAAACAATTGCACAAACTTGGTATCCATGTACACATCGACTTATTTTCACTTTAAAAGAAATCCCCGAATTGCACAAAAATGGCATTGCGCACTCCTTTGACTTTATCCCATGTACATGTCGACCTATTTTCCACTTAAAACACATCTCAGAATGTACAAACCATGGCATTGCGCACTCCCTATTATTTTGCCCATGTAAACATTGATATATTTTCACTTAAAATGTCAAAGGAACACCAAATTCGATTCTACATATAGGCAAAAACAAAAAAATACATACTCTCACTAAGTACATTTACATTAAACCAAACATAAATAACATAAAAAAGGGAAAACATGTTTATGTATTTAAGCACTACCAAAAGCAAATATTCACTTACCATGATTTTCAAGTTCGCTTCGTACACTCCAAGCCACGTAAAAATAAAATAGCAATCATACTCCAATGACTTTTTTCAAACCGGTACTCTTTCTGAATCGAATGCTTCACATATTGGACCATCTGAACCTTTCTTCTTACAAACCCATTCAAATATCCATCGAACCATTTTTACATTCAACTAGACCAGATCCTTCCTACATACAAGGACCTTATACTGGCTACTAAGTCAACTTTCATTTACACACTAGTCAATTAAGCTCGTTTCCCATTTCACCTTTCACTCCAAATCGGACAGAAACTACTTCAAAGAATCTTACCTACATTTCGGCATTCTATCTAGCCGTCTAAAGCTCAACCCACCAACACGCACGAAACGCTTTACAAACAACATCCATGATTCAATTCTCAGAAGCATGCACCCTATACATCACTATAGGGTTTTCATAACAATCAACTACTCAGGCTACCATAAATGAAACAACAACTTGGCGATAAACCAAACAACAACTTCGCCATAATACAAGGGGTACCTCTACCCACTTATTGTAAACTTTTTATATGTTTCAGTAGTGATTATTAAACTAATATTTTTTTGAGTCAGTTCACGCGAAGAATTTTTGTTCAGTTTGAACATTTTATTCATGTTGGTAATTTAATGCAATATTTTTTAAAATGAAAATTGAAAAAAACTGAATAATTTAATTTGCTTTTCCTATGTAACCATGATTTTGTGTGTTGTAATATTAGGTAAAGTGCAGAATCGCCCACTTATTTGTTTGGTGCTTTTTACAA